TTAAATCGGTTATGTGATTATTCAAATATTTTGTTTTAGTTGATTATAAATATATAGAAAAAAAAACATTAAGTTATAACGAAATGCAAGTCCATAAGTGAATGTTGCATGATATAATATACTCTACGGATAATTGTATTACTATGTTTCTTTTTTCATATATAAAATAATAAAATGTAATTAATAACCAGTGAAGATTTCGAATTTAGATTTTTTAATGAAATAGCTGTTTTATAAGACGTGTTTAAATTGTCGCAATTGGCGTTCATTTATCGAAATTATTTATTTAGAAAATTCAAAAAATTATCTTAATACGAAAGGTCATTGGTTAAAATGATCAATCGAAACATTTTACGGAAGCGTGAAACGTAGTGAGTTTGGACTAGAAACAATCTTTACGAACGATCAAAGTTTTCATGCTATCAGCTCTGATCTGAATTCTAAATAATCTATCGACGTCTTTAAAGCGAATTAGTTTCACTAAAAATACTAAAGTAAACGTCGCTACATAGTGGGTAACGGGTATACGACATACGTACATAATATGTATATCAACTGTCTGTCCATATTAGGATATGGTACATTATGCATAGTGTGGGTCGAGGATCAGGCATATATAATATAATATGTGATAATCCAGCTAATATAGAGAAAATAGGAAAACACACTGCAGCAGATTCACTCTGTATATATTATGTATAAGACGGGAGTCGTTTTAATCAGGTATGTCCCAATTTCACAAGTAATGGGTAACTACGGAACTCTATTATCGCAAACTATTAAAAACAAAAGTTAAGAAACCGTTAAACTAAGCGTTTACCAGATACCTACTACATAATAATATGGTGCTATAAAGTTTAATAAATGTTATTGAATTTAACCATAGCAACAAATTTATCAAGCTGCATGCATAATCATAATTTTAACACATCATTTGAAACTATTTAAAACACAATTTAAAACTGTAGGTAGCCGGTAAACATTAATATTATATATTACATAATATATATTTATATATATACACAGATTGTATAACTGCTAGTTTGTGCAATACTAATAATAACGAATATATGATGGACAGAAAATGAATTATTTATATGACCAATTATTGAAACATATGAGGATAAAATGGCATTTCAAAATCCGATTAGGTACTATATGGTAGTACAGAATCTGCAGCTAGTATTGCGTTCAGACAGTCTTATAATGAGCCAATCAATGAAATGTCATCAAAGTGTAATTACAGCAGAATACGGCCAGACTGGGCTTATGGCCCGAGGGGATCGAGGGTATGGAGAAGGGTTTTATATAAAATTATACATGGGGTAGAGGTTATATTTAAATAAAATACAAAAATGGTAGCATGAAATATATAAACATATATATAAAAGGGCGTTATTATTACAAGTATGGACGAGAGAAGCGAAATAGAATATGAGAACAAATGGTTTGGTAAAAGTTTTTTTTTTTTTTAAAGCATTCAAATGTCTTTTCTCCGTACTAAGTAGGTATTGTTTACTTATTGTTCGCATATTTCATATTCACGGGTAACAAGCACAATATTTTTTATACAATCCCGCTATGAATGAAATTTAAAAATGCGTACAGTAAGTAGGTACCTAAGCTATATAATTATATTTTTGTATAATATCTGCAAACTATAAAAAGAAAAATAAGAATATTACAGTGTAGGTAGTAAAAGTATAAAACTGATAAATATCCACCGTACAAAGAGAAATATTAAAGAATATTCAGACATTTTTTTCTCCTGTCGATAATTTCCAACAGACACCCAAGGTAAATAAAAATGTCTTAACCGTCAACACAATGAGAGACCGTATAATATTATAATCACCGTATGACCTAGATCAGAAAATATTATTAATTTTTAATAATATAGGTAATCCTAAGGTTGGTATGCAGTGAGTGGCACGTGACAAGCATCTCACACTTTTATGGTATCCTAGCAATTATAATGACGACATCATATTGTTGTGTTAAACTGTCATATGTCCAGAGATATTGAGGTGATATTAACTGCAACAGGTATAAGCTAAAAATTACCAATTAAGGGTATCTGTGTGGAGATGCAGTAGTAGAAGTACAGAAGAATGCGAGTAATATAATATTGTTCTACCAGCCGCAGCCTACGCGAAAATTATATTGCTATTTGATTATTTAGTATCGTATAGATTGGGTAACATAGGTACCTACTTACATATAATATCATGCAGACATTATAGTTTTTCACCCATACCTATATACTGTATTAAATATCATTTATATAATAATTATATAATATAAGGTGATCGATCCATTAAGTGTCTACACTATCATTTTTTCAATATAGTTTTAAACTTTTTTGAAAATGTTTCTTTTAAATAATTTGATGTAATTACAAAACAACATTTTTGAAAAAAAAAATGACAACATAATACACCTACATTTACTAATTTCATATTCCAAAGTAAAATATTTTTTTGAGAAGGTACCTTTTTCAAATTGAAACATACAATCAAATTTTGAACGAGTAGTTAATTATGTATGTACCAACTTATCTGTAAATTTGGCAAATAAGGTAAATACTAGACAAATATTAACAATAATAACGGTTAGAATAAATAATATTTATCGATAGTTTTAATAAGAATTTCGTGAAACACATAATATTATGCAATATTAAATTTGAGTCTTATCAATAATATCAGTATCAAATTTATCAATTAAAATACCTAGCCATTGAATTTTACTCATTTAATAAATTACTGATGGAAATTATTTGGATATCCAAATATTTATTTTTATATTTTAACAACCTAAATATGATATATTATGAGTCTCCTTATTATACTATGTCTTATACTCTTATATAGTACCTATAACATAATATTATCATGTAGCTAAATAATTTGATTACCTATATATGGGTTAAAAAAAAATAATAAATAAAAAATAAATCCAGATATACGAAATTTTAAAGTCATAATATTTTCCCAGGCACTATATCGAATTAAGTATTGTTGGAGTTATAAAGAATGCAAATATTTTAAACATAGTATAATAAATATTGTATAACAATTACTATTGATTACTTTGTGTAATTAATTGATTGTGTGATTTATTTAAAATTTATTTGTCATTACTAATTAATTAAAAGCAACAAAGTGCATGATTAATAAATGATAATCTATCGGAAATTTAACAATCTTAAACATTTAGAAAAATTTCATGTTATAAGCAGTATTGATATACAATTTTAAATTTTAGATACACGGTAGTAGTATCAATAGTCTATGACAATAGCATAATATGCATTCATTCAATGAATCGTATACAATTAATAAATCATGATAGGCGACATGATGAAAAACGATCTTGTCCTAAATGGTTATTAAAATGCAAACCGATTTTACGATATGTATAAAATAAACAGACGAACACATGTTATCTTTGGACTGAAACCTGGTCGAGATCGCTAAACGATACGTGATCCTAATAAATATCGTATACGGTATTACGATGTCAATGGAATCGGTTCTTATATTCATGTGGAGGTATTAAACATATAGCTTTGTGTAGTGACGACCTAGTAACCTGAAAATGAGAATTGAGTAGCAGATAATAATATAATGTTACAGCTTTGACGATATACGTGTAATATAAAGTGAAGTGTGATATGACTATACTCGTCGTCAATCGCCCATAAACTGGAGTGCTTACGTATGATTGAAAACTATAATAGTATAACTGCGGCGGTCTATCATCAATTATTATATAATGCCATGGTCTCACCATGTTGAAAACGATAGTTTTGTAACTAATAATATATAATAATATTGTACAACAATATATTATATTATGTTCAGAGAGAGAGAGAAAGAGAGAGAGAGAGATAGCAGGGCTGTAGTATTGATTTTATAATAAACTCATATTGTGACCAATTCAGATAATATTTCTTTTTTCAGAGTTTTGTAAAATAATAAATTGTTGTGGTCTCATCGCGTTATAATATATAAATAATATTACATACATATTATTATAATATTGTTTTGTATTTTTTTTTACCAAGGAGTCGCCCGAAAAAATTACCATAGAAAATCACATTTAAAATAGAATTAATTAAAAAAATATACTAATAACAATGTTTGTTAGTTTTATTTGTATATATTTTTTTCGACTTGTTTGTTCTAGTATATACTATATATATACCTATTGGAAATTGCGACACACAATAATAATAATAATACGAACATTCTAATATCAAACTTTAACCTATACGTTGTTATTTTACCGAGTAGAAATAATATTTGGTTTGTATATTTGACATGGGAAAACGTCGAGGGACGATATATATACATTTCGGAAACGTCGACCCAACTGTATAACATTTAGGCAACGACGGCCCACGCCGCCGTATATTACGGAATTAAATAAATATCATATAAGTACTCCTGGCTGTAGCTGCACGAATCGAACGTAATACAATTAATAACTCTATATAGGCACATATTGGATGTTTTCGACATAAATTGTGTACCAGCCGAATATAATATGTTCGGTAAAACATAATAAATCGCTGTCTCGCAAACCTATTCGAAGACCATATATTATATTTTGGTCTACTCCTCGCTACATAATAATATTATAAATTAGGTATAATGATACTCGGAATACTAACCGGGAACATATAAATGGCGTAAACGTTTTATGACCAATACATAGTACGTATATTATATTATATTACAATATGACTACGCGATAAGTATTATATTATATTCGGCCGTAGAAAAATGGAAAATCTAAACATCTACGTATTTAAATCCCTTAATCCCAACATAATACGTGAAAGGTTTATGCGTTTACTCTTAAATCGAATTCGTTTGATAATGCAACATATAATAATAATATACGAGTTGAGTTAGGTACATAATAAATATCGATAACAGAGTTAAACACTTTGTCTGTTTATTAGATTAATCAAGTTTGACTGAGCAACTCACTTTTCCTTCCGCTTCCACAGCTCTCGTTTCCGCTTCCAGCACACGTTTTTCCAACTCCGACAACTGAAAACCATAATAATACATTTTTACTTTTATATAAACAACATAGATACATATCATATTAATTATATATTATGGCTACCGAAATGTATTTTCGCGTGTACCTAAGCGAAACACATTTAAAAAAAAATAATTTATTTTTCAGGTTCTCTAGTATTTTGCGCTTTACCGTGGTTTATCAATTATTATTTAAAGGACGATACCTATTATATTATGAATGAGGGCTTAAACCTATTATTAGATTATGAGTATAAAAACATTTTATAAAAACATTTTTGATAACTCATTATCAATAGTATAACGAATAAAACATAGAAGGTAACTCCTGTGTTCTGTCACATCGTCAAACAACCATTAACTCGGAAAATAAATTCAAAGAAAATTACGCACATAGCGACGACAAAGCGTCAAAGTATGTCTACGCAATGTGCCTATATAGTTTCATAATAATATTGAAAAAAAAATATAAAACATTTTCATCGTTAAAAATATTGATTTGACGATTCAATGTAAATATTCAATGTGTAGTAGTACAATATGATGGTATATATATATAACGTGGTGTGGCAATTAAAGAAGGGGAAATATTATCTAAAATGATTTATAATAATAATAATTTCCATGAAAATGTATATTGAATATTCAGTAGCAAAATAAAAATATTGTGTAACGAAAGAACTGTGGAATGGAATAATCGAGGGAATAATAGAGAGGGCATAATACGCATCTATACATTGACATTTATAATTATATTTTAATTGGACGGTTTGTTAATAGAAGTGTTGCACATTAAGTGTTTTTAATGAAATAGTATTATATAAATTGCTGTCAAAAATAAATATCTATTTTTAAATGACAATTGTTTATAATAGGCAATGGACGAATAATTGTTTTAAGAAGTTTACCACAGAAAGACTTCAGAAAGTTCGGGAAAACTAAAATGTCTTTTTAATGGAATAAATAACCGTTGTAATACATACAATATCTTGAAAATAACTCGACTGAAAACTTTCATTATAAAATAACTCTACTTGAACAAAAACATTATACATATACATATTATATATATAATCAAAGTTTGAAAAATAATGTCTCTTCTCCCCCTCAAAGATTGAAGCATGTAAATTAAACTTTTTCTCGATAAAGATCTACTTATTCAGGGTAAATAAAGTTAAAAGTCGTCTACTAAGATGAATAAAATTATGTTAATAATATAAATATATATTTGCAGATGCAGAATAATAAAATACAAAAAGTGTAAATCTTGGATAACTTAAATAAAAAATTGTAGTGGTACGGCGTAATAACGTTTCGCATTTGTAATGAGAAAACAGATAAAAACTGCGGCGGGATAACACCGTTTAAAATTGACGTTAAGATGAGAGTTTTGAAAAAAAGATATAACCAAAAACTTCTTCCAGTCTAGCACCCTTGTAGTCCATAATACTGACACACACCACTAACCGAGTTCTGCATTATTGATTATTATTTTTAACACTATATAGCATAGTATACTACGAGCTCGCTAGGCTCTTATTAATAATGTGCTTAATGAACAACAGTAAGTATTTACGTTTTTAATGTACCAGTACAGGTTTAGGTAAAAATATAAAAAATTAAATCAACTATAAATATATTATATTATGTGTCATAATAAACACTAGGCACCCATTCCATTACATCGCGTAATAACAATATTAATTATATTTAATTACTGCACCTACATTGTATTATTATTTTATCATATCTTTTCGAGTGAATCCTATATAATATGATGTATCTATACTTGAAAAACTATTCACGAAATAATAATGAGGACGGTTAAAATATAACTACAAACAGTTAGAAATGATAACAAAAAAAGGTTTTCTGCTAATAAGTGTGTCCCAAACAATATAATATTAAAAATGCTTCGACTGTCAAACGTATATTATACGATAATAATATTATAGTATTGTTTTGTGTCAGCTTTGGTGGGGTGGGGACTGGGGAGGGGTGTAAGAAATATTTTGTTATATTATCGCCACGGGCGAGTTTACACCACCACACAAAATATATAATAAATAATAATAATAAATGCGCGTAGCGTCGCTCCGACACACGTTGTTTAACCGGAAGATGGGGTTAGTGTATTGCATACAAATCTTGGATAACAAAAACAATATTTTATCCTATTTGTACTTTTATTTTTAAAATGTACTCTCACAGTTTTCGTCCGATTACCTCACAATATATCAGACGCATTGAGTTACTGCTCTACCATGTGGTGTGGTAAATAACAATATCCCAATCACGTGAAATACGCGAGAAACTGTGAAAACCTCATATACATATATTATACGTCGTCTATTGAGTCTTTGTATTAACCAGTATACTGAATACATAATATAAGGTAGAGGTACCTAGGTATATAAATATTATGTAAGTACACGTCGTGCGGGTAGAGTTTCCATAATACAGACTGTTGACAGTCGGAGTTGAAATCTATTTCCCCTCTCCATAAAACCCACTGCACAACTCGAGACTGGTCGTATTGTGAATACAAGCGTGTAACAGCGACCGGCAAGTAAACACAGTCCATATAACAACGTATTTGTTTCGTTAATTTTTGTTCCTATTATTATTTTTTGTTTCTGTTTTTTATGCTTTTCCGAGACAGATGCAATACACAAAAAATAAACATCCACTCGGTTTCATTCGGCACCGCTAATTGGACCGCCGAAAATAAAATATTACCCTTCGCGTCGCGAGCAAAAACACATATATATATATATATAAGTACGTATAGGAAGTTTACAAAAAAAAAAACCGAGTGGTTCTATATAATTTAATTGCCAGTTTTTCGTCGCTATTCGGCCGTGTTTTCTATCCTGCAGCGAGCGGTGACGGAATTAAAAACGAAAATTACAAAAAAAAAAAAGAACTACACACGCGGAGAATGGGGACTGTCTAAATGATGCTGTACGCGCCGAATTTCCGGTACGCCGGAAGATGAGGGGCGTCCGTTTTAAATTTTTTTTTTTTAATAAACAAATAAAGTAAGGTAATAAAGTATAAGGTATATTTTACGTAGGATGTAAGACGTGTGTCAAAAATAAGAAATTAGTACATATGTACATACGTATATATATATATATATGGTGGCGATGTGGCAACGAACTAAAGAGAGATGTGCATCGTATATAATATAATTTATATATAAGTGTCATGTGTGTGTGTGTTTATGGGGATGGGACGTTCCGAGGAGAACGAAAAACACACACAAAATGATAAATTACTAGGCGATTTTGGGCTATTTGCCAGGGTTTTTCACTGCAGTTCGAGATAGACGGCGGCCGCCCTATAATCGCATTGTTATTTTTAGTTTATATACCTGCAGCACTGCACGACACGTGTAATATATTATTATAATGTATAGTAGTACGTTTTTATTTTTTGAAAATCTGTTCCACTTCGGTATCGTCACCGCGAAAACGACAACGAGTGACACATGACGATGATGATTTAATCATCAGACGCGTACTAATAAAATAATATAATATACTAGGTAGGTAAGTAGTAAGTACTATAAGTACACTCCGAGATATTATATTATTTTCATAATATACACCTCGAGTTGTGACGAGGAAACGGATTTCCTTAAAGCAGGTCGTCGTCGTCGCTGTCACACAACCGCGACTCGACGTTTTGATTTCCCTTAGACTTCCGCCACTGGATCGATAGCCATATCGCGCACCACCAGCGTATTATAATGTTATGCTAAGGTATTACACTTGTGGTGTGTAAATAATTGTTCCCACACTCGTCAGTCACATCACACTCGTATATAATTGATGTGCCTTTGACAAGGCGGCCACGGGACACGATTCTCAGGAACAAACGCTTTTTGTTTCGATGGGAACGATGGCATGTGAGAAACCAACTATACCTAAATATATATATATAGCCATATAGGTATAGTTGATTATATAGTGTTATAAAATTATTTATATAAACTCAAAGCCATAGTGTTTGACTCGGTCGAACATAATAATAGCCTCATATACAGGGTGTTTTCCTAATCATGCGGTAACGCGTACGGGAAATATCGAGAAATTGCAGTATAAAATACCTACAATATACATCTAACCTACCTAGGTACACACGTAAGGTACACACAAATTAACACATCGTGAAAAAGTTATTGGATCATTTGGGTCCAGCAAATTTTAACTCAACGTGCCATATTGCAAACATTAAAACATCATTTTAAATAGTGTAAATAATAAAAACTATCATTTATCAAACTGTAGAATTGCTATACCTGCAATATTGTTAATTTCTAAAAAGTCGTTATATTATACGAACTATAATTGTATATAATAATGTATTTATTTTAAAAGGATTCTAGATTTATTTTTAAAAAAGAAACTGCACTAGGTATATCGCCAGACATCTTTTATCCCGCCACAAGCTTAGGTTTGTGGGGTGTATTCAAAACTTAAACGCCCTCTGGTTTAATCTACATACAATACATATATATATAGGTACCTACCTAATTATAAAATGATTAAGTGGTAATTGCATGGTTTTTAACAAACAGTAGGAGAAAAAAATACATCCTGACACGTGTAAGTACGTGTGTGGCGGGACCTTGACACGGTCGAAAATAAACCCGCCGCCGTCATCAACCCGAAGAGGGGCTGGAGGGGGTTGACAACGAGAACGAGAAAGAGGCCAGCGTAAGTGTAATCGGTGGTCGTAGAGTAGGAGTTGGTGGTGGTAAAAGAGTGTTACATATAAAACGGAAAAACCGGGTGGCCGCAAGCACGCACATGTAACGTCCGTGATTCCGCGCAGTCCGTCACATCCGCGAGGCAGCATGATGGACGTCGTAAACGTTATGTTCGTCGGCATGACGTTCGTGTTTGTGGCCGTGCCGTTGGTGCTTAAGTCGATGGACGGGACTCGATTGCCGGTCGCCGTAGCCCGATTGTACGCGTACGGCAAGATCACGGGCGGTGCGAAGCCGTCCGGGGTGCTGAGCGTGCCCAAGCGGTGGTACAAGCACTTTTACGCATTCTCATTGGCCCTGTCGCTGATGGCAGCGCTGGCGCTGTCAGACGAGTACGTGGCGGGCGCCCCGTGGCCGTCGGCAGCGGCGTTGTGCCGCCGGTGGCTGTGGGACCCGGTCCGGCGACCAAAGTCGTCGTACAGCTCGGCCGCCGCATCCACGGCCGCCGGCATGTTCGTGCTACAGTGCGCCAGGCGGACGTACGAGACGTACCACGTGAACGTGTTCTCCGACACGGCGGTTGGGCTGTGGTACTACGCGTCCGGTTACATGCACTACGTAGGCGCCATAGTTACCGTGCTGGCCGAGGCGCCGGTCGCAGCGACTTCGGGGGAGCCACAGTCCAGCAGCGCCTGGGAGCCTGTCCGGTTGGCCGTGGCCTTGTTGGTGTTCGCCTGGGCGTACCGCGAACAGTGGCGGGCCAACGTGGCGCTGGCCGAGGCCCGGAAGCGCGGAGGTCAGGTGGTCACGCACGAGCACATCATGCTCACCGGCGGACTGTTCGACCTCGTGTCTAGTCCACAGATGCTCACTGAGGTGGTCTTGTACGGCGCTTGGTACGCCGTGCTGTGGGGCGGCACCGGGTGGAAGTACGTGATCGCGTTCGTCTGGGGTAATCAGTTCGAGATAGCGCTCATCAGTCACCGGTGGTACCAGGACAAGTTCCCGAACTACCCTCGAGAAAGGAAAGCCATCATACCGTACATTCTGTGATTGCAGTTGCATCATCGTGTGCAGGATGCAGCATTGTCCGCTCATTAGAGTTTCATAATATGATATTTATAGGCGATGTGTATAATAACTGTATTGTACCTATATTATTAAAATCTTTTGTTGATTTTTCAATGATTTTGTTTTTCAATTACCTATATTATTTACCTATTTAATAATGTCACGAGTATCTAGACTATATATGACCAGCTATAAGAACAATAGCCATTTTTGTTATATATAGTTTATACCTAAAGGTATAGATCACATTAACATTTAAAATATTTAACAACAACACGGTTTCATATATATATACAAAATAGTAAAAACAAAAAAGTAGAAACAATGGACCGATGAAAGTTCAATGTTTTAATTAAAATATAGGAAAGGACCGAAAAGTCTCAATAAACGTAAAAATGGAAAATTGGACAGATAGTTAGAAGAAGATACAGGAATATAGAGAATAAGAGCTCTTTCTGGTTGAGCGTGTATAGAAACCCTGATATATATTATTATATAATGATGCGACATAACTGAGCATTTACCAGCGTTCGTCTGGGGCAGTCAGTTCCGGAACTAATCTATACATGTGATTGTAGTTTCATAGTTTTGTGCAGCACCTTATCACACATCGCACTCTAAGAGTTACATATTATATAATACGGTATTTACGTATGAAATCAATGTATCTGTAACTACTTCTTTATAAGTTCGTTTCGTTGGTTGTGACGTTTTTTTTTATTCTTTTACCAGTATTATTATGTAATATTATACGATGCATTTATCGTCCCTCGGATAGTAGGACATTAGGTAGGTATTTTTCATTCTTAAAATACTTATTCTTTTTTTTTTTAATATCTGTATGAAACACATGACAAGGTACTCAAAGTATTATTATATTATTAATAATATACATAATGAAACGAATAAAAAATGCATATACCATTGACGTTGAGTTATATTTCAGATTAGAACAAAACACCAATACTTTTTCAAAATACAATAATTTATTTTGGTTATGGATTAGAAAAAACATATCACTCCGGTGGAACGAATAGCGCAGTCGCAATGAAATCGTACACAATAATATGAATGCGACTTTTACGAACGGATTATAAATTGATGGCGCGCTGCAGGTATAAGTGCAAAGTAATAATACTATAAACATATACTTCAAAAATAAATATACTGCGGGCTGCCAGTAAACTACGGCATATCGTATAACAATTAAATCCGTCGACTACCCGAAAACAAACGCAATCGGTTCCCCACTCGTCGAGGAAAATATTAATATTACGATGGCGTTTGCACAGAGCGCACCGGTGCCGCCGGTGGCGACAGCTTTTCGGAATTCCATTACGCGCTCATAACGAATAGCTTTTTGCGTTTTAATAAATTACGTTTTAATCATTTTCCCCGTTTTATTTACCCATTTCATTATTTTCCGCGCGGGCATATTGTTACGCGAGTGTTGTTGGTTTTTCGTGGCACCGTTCAATTTTATACGAAAATATATACGCTATTACGATGGCGAACCGAACATAATATTATAACAGCGGTGAACAGGATATACAATAATAATACTAATAATAATAATAGCTACGGCGTTACAGCCCCGGCCTGCCGTATCTGTTGGGCGCTGCTTTTATACCCTCTAAATTGATATATACAAGGTAATTTTTTTTCCTAAGTAAGACTGCACTCATATTTTCTTGGTCGATTTATAATATCTCTTTTTGGAAGAATAAAAATGTTTTTAAACAACTTGAAGTATGCACTATTATTCATAATTACAACACTGGGTTTTCGCAAAATTGTTTACTATACGTACTTTTAAACATAATACATTTTTAGGTTTCATAATTATTTTAAACGACTACTCACATTTTCAACTTCATATTCTGTAACAAAATATATTTATCTTTGGGTAGATTAAAACTAATTTAAATAACAATCGATAGTACTTAAAAATATTTAATATAAATTATTGAGTGAATATAATTAATTATTTATTGAGTGAATAAAGTTTTTTATTTATTAGCTTTTACTGTTTTGATGAGAGAACCATTAACAACGAATCACAATGGTAGCAAACAATAATATGTCAGGTACCTACTAATCCTACCTTGACAGCTGACACTCTATTTCTATATAGACTTATAATTTATAAAATATGTCAGTTCCAAAATGGATCAACTCGTGCCCCTCTTTTTTATCCATGGCCCCCTTTAGTCAAAGCATGACTAATCATATGAAGCTGCCACCATATTTTGGTCTCACATTAGATTAATTAATATTCTGCAGCCATAAGTGTATTTTTTTTGGGGGGGAGGGGGGCAAACTGTGGTAAAATGACGCTATGCTAACTCAGTTAAATATCTGAGGGGGCAGTCTACAGCACCATCGCAAAGCAGGTGACACTCATTGAGCCCATTTTGGGAACCACACTGCACGATATGTATCAATATTTTCAAAAAAATATAGTGTTTCATAATAGGAAATTAAGAATACGTATCACTATAGAGTAAAAACAATTTGGAATATTTTTGCAAAAATTTAGTTTCATAAATAAGTTAGTAAATGTATACTATTAAAATTGTTAAAATAAATGTTCTTATAAAGACTAACATTACATAACTAAGAAAATGAGTGGTGTAAATACATGCTATTTATTTGTTTTCCCAAAAAAGTCTCTTTTTGTGATAAACTTCAGTGACATGTCGTTGGCCACGTGAACTGACAACGCACGGTGTCGTCAAATATTGCAAACCACCGTCGTACCCATCACCGCCGTACAACAAAATATAATATAATATATACATACAAAAAAAAGGTTCACACATGACAGCGGCTGTGTCGAAGTGTATTTGAAAACGCGTAAAAAAATATAAAATAATACTTAATAATAAATCCTCTATACACAGTTACCGCTATTGGATTTTGAAATCGACAAGACACATTTTATGTAGTTACCTACATAAAATATATAACCTGCTAAAAGAATATGGATTTTGAAAAATTCGATGGTAAAAATTATATAAAAATAAATCATAGTTTTTTTTTTGATATACACACGAGTAATATACAAACACAATATTTATAAATTCATAGTATTTTTTATGAGCACAAATTACTTATTCTGATAATTAAAAATAAAATATATAAGTACTTAACCCTTTTTTTGTTTTGCATCCAATACATAAATTACCTTTTTTATCGTATAAAAAGGTTTAAACAAATTAATCAAGTGTGGGCGAATAACTCAATTTTAAAAAGATTTTAGTTTATTTTCGTATAGAATATAATTAATTATTAATCTCAATAAACCATTTTTGAAACTGTTATCAAAAAACATATTAAAATATATATATTATAAACACGAGTGAGTACTGAGTAGGTATTATATAACTATATTATAATATATATTAAAGTAAAGAATGTAGATACATCAATGTTTGCTAGAGTTAATTAAACATAATAACACAACGGTTCAAAAAATATTTCTCATATATCCACACGTATAAGGTACCTACAGGAACAATATATTTATACCTTATTGAATACTCAAGTCAACGTACTTTAATAAACCAGGGGTGGCCAAACCCTGGATAGGTTCTTACACGGAGATTTATTGGAAACGTATTTTCGTTTAAAATATTAGTATATTACACATATTATATATTTTGATGTTTCCGTTCCGGCACATAACACCTCTCTTCGATCATTTTTACCGTAAATGGGGACGTAGGTTCGGTTAAAAAAAAAATTTAAGCAGTTTTTTTGAACAAATTATTAGCTGCCGGTCGATCACTACCGAAAAAACCATTCCGCCCCTGCTGTAGACGATAAAATATTTATAAATATATATCTATATGGCTATATATAATATGTATATATAAATAAGAATAAAACCATATTCTAACGTTATTTATTCTTATCTACTTCTCGGAGAATGTGGACAGACTTCCAAATATATATATATATATATATATATATACCTACTGTTCGGTAATCGAATAGTCAACACCGATTTGTTGATACGGTTCTATAAAAAATTGTCACCGCATTGTAACGGTTACGATAAAAAAAAAACTATCTACATTACACCTTCTAAATTCGTGTGCTTTTCTGAAGAAGAAAAAAAATATAGGACTACTATTATGGGTGAATGGTTTTTTCTTTTCCTTTACGTTTAGCCGGCATGTCTCGAGAGGCCCATTGGTATTTACGAGAATGGGGAGGATTTGAATACGCATTCCAGAAAGTATAACTTATTATTACTGTTACTGGGAAAAAAATCGGTTGAGCGACCAAAAAAAAACTTTGTCGTCGAATATTTTGATTATAAACGCAATACCATTTAATATACAATCGCATATACATACTATACGACGGTGTCGCATGAGCAAAAAAATATTCATTTTCCTTTTTCTTTATGGGACCCGAAAAACCCGTCAACTGCAGACTTTATACCCGGTATATATTTGGACTGATACCTACATAGAAGTTATTACTCATACGACACATTGATTCACCAAACACTATCATCACTATGTTTTCCATTAATAATTTAATAATTTATTCAAATTCTGTTTTTGGAATTTTACTTAAGAACGGCCATTTAAAATACATTTTACACCATTCTTAAAGGGGTGTCTTGTAGCACGATACAAACTTTTTTTTTTCAAATGAACACCAATCTTTTTCTGTAAATTATGAAACAGATGATTTTATTGAAAATTTTTATGAGAATACCTATATACCTAGGTACATCAAAATTCAAACGAATAGTTTCTGATATATTAAAACTTTTATGTTATGTACTAAAGAAAATTGGCCTAAAAAATGGTTTTACAAGAATTTGAAAAAAATATGTAATATTGGATCTAGTATTTATATTATATTTAGAAATTTTAAAATGTTGATCGATTAATATTAGTCATTGTAATTGTAAAATAATTATAGCACCCCTCCCCCCATATCTTTCAAAACTTTTATTAACA